TAGCTAGATATGTGTTAGATTGTAGGTTCCTTTAAATGGCTGAGAAAATAAGCTATGCTGAATGGGATGTAGATTCCTATTTTTGTGTCTTTTTGTCACTTAAGGTTTTGCCTAGAGGGATTCTCTATGTTTTGAATCTGATCACCCTGTAAGGTATTTACCATCCTGATTTTACAGAGGTGATTCTTTTTACTTTTTCTTCTATTAAAATTCTTTTTTTAAGAATCTGAAAGTTTTTTCATTGTTCTTAAGATCCAAGGGTTTGGGTCTGTGTTCACCTATGCAAATTGGTGAGGATTTTTATCAAACCTTCCCCAGGAAAGGGGGTGTAAGGTAAGGGAGGATTTTGGGGGGGAAAGACGTTTCCAAATGGACTCTTTCCCAGTAATATACTGGGTTAGAAGTTTGGTGATGGTAGCGATAAAGTCCAAGGGCAAAAGGCAAAATAGTTTGTACCCTGGGGAAATTTTAACCTAAGCTGGTAAAAGTAAGCTTAGGAGGTTTTCATGCAGGTCCCCACATGTGTACCCTAGAGTTCAGAGTGGGGAAGGAACCTTGACATCTTGTCTTCTAGGTGCTAAGCTCTTTGAGACAGGGACTATCATTTATTATATGTTTGTACAATGCCAAACACAATCGTAGTCCCCACCTGATTGTGGGCTTTAGCAGCTAACGCAATGTGTTAACTAATAAATATGGGGTGAAATTGGTTTTGAATGTAATAGTGTGGAGAACAGATTTTGAAGAATGGGGGTCCCAGTTTGGCAGCAGGGGAGGAGGACAAGGAAAGGTAGTCCCGAAGATGGCTCCCTAAAAAAAAAAAAAAAAAATAGTCCACACTATGAAAAGGTTTTAGGACCTGTGGGCTACATCTTCCATTTAACAGGCCTGGCTGGTAATATATTATTGTTTCAGCAAAGAAAGGCAAATTAAATCAAATAATTCAAATTCAAATTAAACTGCCTTTCCAAAATATTAAGAAACATTTTATTTTGTTTGTAAAGCTCTGTCAGAGTTACATTGTGCTGTTCCCCATACGGAAACAGTCTGGCCTGCTGATGTCTCAGAGTTCAGATAATGTCAAGTTATTCACACTGCTAATCTGGTCCCATTGTTCTGACATGTGGATAGGGTGTCACTGAAGGTCTCTTCTGAGAAGTCCCAGCCCACACATTCATAAGCCAGTCTGAAATCACTAGGGCAGATAACTGTTCAGCAAAATTCATATAAATGAAGGACAGCACCTGCCTAGCATTCAAACTCAGATATTTACTATCTATTTAGAGCCTACGGTTCACTTTTTTTTTTTAAATACCAATAAGGCTGATTTAAAAAAAAGTTTATAATGACCAATCCCATAATGAAACTAAATTGTACCAGAGATTGAAGTCTGATGTCACTGTCAGAAGCTCTGCTTTTTAAAACTAATTTACAGTGTCAATCAGGACACAAGAATAAGGACTAAACATGAATGCCAGGATTGGAAGTTTATTTATTAATACAATCTACTTAGATTGTAAACTCTTTCGGCAGGGATTAGTTTTTCTTTAAGGGCCTATACACTGCTTAACACACTGGGGTCTCAAGTCCTGATTGGGGCCTCTAAGCACTACAAATAAATAAATGATGATAATATGCACATATGACTCATGGACTGTTGATAATTAACTACCTGCAGCTTGATAGTTACTATGACAATCTACCGGGAATTATTTGCTTATCAATTACTACATGTATTTTAGAATAGTGTATCATTTTCCCCTAGCATTCAAAGTGATTCAGTTGCCTTAAAAACAGATTGCATGCTTCACAAAGACAATCAAATGAATGCTTGTCCAGTCTCCTAGATGCTAGGCGATAATTATTTATCTAATGATATGGTTCCACTCTTTGGAGCAGATGACAGATTCGTTTCTTGATGGCATGATATGTTTACAAAATTAAGACTGCCAATTAATATTTCTGCACTTCCACAATAAAAGGAATTACAGTCTTAAAAGTGAGTGCTGAAAGACTTACTCCACTACAAAAAAATTCCAAGATTTTGGAAGGGCCTTTTTAAAGGAGCAGATTTTTTTCTATTAAGCTTTATACTTCTAATTGTCTATAACAAACAAAAACTCTGTCAACTAGCTATGTGTGTGGCTCCCACTGACCTAAACAGGAGTTCCACACATTTGTCCAAGGGCAGAAGTTGAACCAATGCCATAACAGAAGAGATGGATTTTTATAATCTACAATTTCACCTCAGACAACTCCCAGGTCACAACCTAAGACGCTAGACAGAAATGATACATCCGGTGCCCATTACTGGGTATTTTTCATGATGAATTCCAGGAATAGATTAACTTGCAGAATGTTTTTAATTACATTTAGTCCTTGTAGCAAAGATATAGAGATTTTAAATGTCATTAAGTCTGCTAGATCCTTAGTTCCTGTAAATGCTTGTGCTGTGGTTGGAGCCTGAAGTAAGAGCATCACATCTTTGAAGAAAAGATGTACTACATAACTGCAAATATGTCTCACACACAGAGAAAAGCAAAGCCACTTCATGAATGTTATTCCCCCTGCTTATTTACAGAATCACATTTGAAAGATCAGAAAACTTAAGACAAGGAGTCAGGACCACACATGGCTGTCCTTTACGAGCTTTGAAAGCCGCAGCATTACTCTAGATGTGGGAAAATTGTTATAATTCTGTTACTTAAAGTTCAACCATGCTGACAGCTGTCCTTCTTGAACCATTTTGTTAAATGTTTTCCAAAATCAGGAATTGAGAAAATTAAACCTCAGACAAGTCATCAGGAAAACATTTTCAGCTGTCCAGATACAGCAACACTGTCGGCACAAAGCAGCAATGCATTCAGTAAAATTAGTCTTGACAGAACAAGTCACTAGCCACAAGATGACTGGCTGCAAATAATTATATGGGCCTTTACCATAGCAACAGTTTAAATAATGTGACCTTTCAATTACCCTGGTTCACACTACATAGATTTATCTACACTATAAGAAGGAAGTGCTTCCATTGACAGCACTTCTCAAAAAGAGGGACTGACATCTTCCCTAACACATGAGAAATGCTCTACACATCAGATAGCTCAATTCTTGAGACCATAATTCTTCCTAAAGGCACAGCTAGTTCAATTATAAAACATACAATTCTTTTTCTTATATTCTCTTTTCAGAGGCAAGTAGAACCAGTCTCCAGTCCGGAACAGTCTTTCTAGATACAGGAATCTGCCTCCTACTAATTCTGAAATTAGAATCTTTATAAATATTCACCTCATTTTAAAAAGAGGTGAATATCAGTCCAGCAACTTGACAGTTGACCTGCTAATTTCTGAAATAAGTGGCAATTTAAAAAGGTGAAAAGCTAAAATGTACGAGATGATATGGCTCTGACATTCAGATCTGTATATTTTTCACATTTGTGATGGTGAATTTCCAACACAGAGTAGTCAGACCAAAAAGGTGTAGTTTTTATTTTTTAAAAATCCCTTTGCTAGTTGTATGCCACCATCTAAACAGGTGAATCGAGAGCCAATTTAGGGCTCTATTGTGCCTTGAGGTCACAGCCTTACACTGGGGGTCGTGTGAAGCAAGCATGATGCCTTTATTTTGGATCTCCAGGGAGTGCAGGGGGAGCCACCACCCTATTTCAGGGTGCAATGCACGCTGCACTTGTACTCAGATATCTCTGCTGGCTGCTTCCAGGCCTGGTCTTCTTCTCACCCCATTTTGGGGACTCATGAGTCCTAGCTAGGTTTAAAGAATCCTGGAGCTCCTTTGCATGCAGCCAGGGGAAGGCTCTTTACACACTCCCATGTACCCACCCTGCTACTAGGCACAAAGTAGCCTGCAACTGAACACAAAATATAATGAATTTTAGAAACGATTAAGCTTGCATTCTTGCGTCTCCTCTTACCATGCAGCCAACAGGACACTGCTTGGCTACAGAAGCATTTACTACCTTCAGGCAAACTGGGCTGCCTAAAATGAGACTCAATTTGAAATGCCAACCTGCTTTTGAACAAAACCTTTTTCTATGGTTTGAACATATCTGGTTCAGAGCACAGCCCAGAGGGCGAAGAAAAGACGTCTGTACATATCCTATTTCCTGCTGCCACCCTGGTGACTCCCAAGTAGATCCATGAAGATCTTTATAGTTATAGCTGAAGAAAATCCTCTGTTCTGAAATGATCAGAGCAGAGTGTATAATACAAAAACTTTCACATGATAGTGGTTTTTTACACTGCTTATTAATGAAAGCTCCCAGAACTACTAGCTAACATCCATTGGAAAGGGAGGAACTTAGCATTCATTTTTTGATCTCACTGCACAGAATTTTTGTTAAGCTCCAGGAAATATGCAATAAAACTGAACAATATCTGACCAAATTTCTCAGGACACTTAGAAATGACAAGTCACCAGAAGCCAATTCATTTGTTCAGTTCAAATGACTGTCACTTAGGCAGTGAAAAGGTAAAATTACCTCTTCAAAAGCAACTGAACTCCCTGATGAGTGAGAAAGGGTCTTATTTAGCGAGCACCGTGGGTCAAACTGTGTTCTTGGATAAGTGCATGGAATGGGAACTGTGCATGCAAATATAGCCCTATGATTGGGATTTACTCTCACCACGACCCCGAAGTGTGAGAGACAGACACAGAGAACCGCCTTCAGAACTAATGGAAAAATCATTAAGGTAGCGAGAGACAGACACACTATTGTTGGTGCCAGCGTTTGCTAACAATACAAAGCAAAGCTAAGGAGAGCTTCCTTGTTACTGAAACACACTTTTCAAACGGAAGAAAGACTTGCACAGCAACATAGGAAACTTTGGTCTTGGCACAGCGCAATCCTTAATCCTCCTGCCAGTGTCAATGTATTACATGATGATTAGCTATTCAAACAAGACAAATTCCTAAACACTGGCATATGGGAGAGATATGTATAAAATCGTTGGGGAAGTTTTCAGTTGCTGTCACATCACACTTACCTGCAATCCCTTGTAGCAGCCCACAGACATTAAAAATACTTTTTTTCATTATACTCTGCACACACATAGTAAAGACAGACACAAATGCCACAGCACAGAGAATCATGATCCCCACAGCTAGGAAAATAGCGGTAGCCTGCCAGAACCCACTGGCAATCTCATTAAAGTTCTCTGCATAGGGCCCACAAAGTGTGTCTCGTCTGGAAACCTGCATGTGGGAGATTCTGGTACAACGCCCATAGATGCCCAAAGTTGGATGGTAAGGGTCCTGTGAGCCTCCTGTCCTGTTGTCCATATCTTCGGAACTCACAGGCTTGGCTTTGCCAATTAGCCAATCTGCACTCATGAAAGCTATGAGCTCTGCAAAAGCCACGACAATACTCAGGAGTGTCCACAGCATTGAGCGACAAGTTACAATGACATGACACATATTGCTGTCCAGTGCTTATGGTCAATGCAGTTTGAGAGTCTGAAACCCAAAACAAAGGGGAAAAAAATTAAATTAAAAAAAGAAAAAATATCCACAAAAAATGCTGCTTCAGTTCTGCTCTTTCAGCTGTTTCACAATAGCAGGGAAGGAGAAGCAGTTAGCTGCCCAAAGTTTTGCAAGCAGTCCAGTCATTTGTTCTTAGTGTTTAGCTTCTCCTTTGGTTGTTGAGTACTGAAGTATGTGTTTCTGTGTTAATATTCATACTGGCACATGACGTTACAATAGTGTGGGGGAGGGCCCAAGGACTGCCCACTGCTTTTACATCACACACCTAGAGGAGAGAAAGAAGATGAAAATGTTAGCAGAGAGGAAAAAAAAAAAGCTCGACTCTACCCCCGCAGCTTCAGAGAACAATCCAATGTTTTGCAAAGATCTAAATCAACATGTGAAAGTTCTAACAAGGGCCTGTCAAATACAGCCTCCTGGAAACTTCCCAGCTTAGACTCAATGGAGTGATTAATCTCCTGCTGCACTGCTGTACTTACAGTATCTGTTTTGTCCCATCCTACTTGCAGCTATTTGTCAAAAACTTTGTAAGCAAGGTCCCAGCAACTCCAAACATACTCAGCCACCCACAACCCACCCATTGAAACTACTAGCTTTTGGGAGTTATCCAGTAAAATGCTCACACTTGTTTAGGTAGTTTTTAGTAACTGCAATGTTAGAGTGCTGCCCTATTTTTAGTGCTGGGACTCAAACACGCAGAATGACATTGGGTACCACTGGGAAGGAGAGAGGATACAAGCTCTTTCATGTCAGGATCATATTGGACAGTCGTGCAGTCAATGAACCCGATCTCATGCTATTTCACTGAAACAGCTTCCTAGCTAAACTGCAGCCTACTGTTCCTGTTCCAGCTTACATCTCAACAAAGAGCAAAACAGAAGTGCAACTGGGAATAACTCACCCACTGGAACACGTCAGATCTATAGAAACATATCACAGTTCCAAGATTTTGAAATAGTTCTGCAGAACTGATATTGCACTGTATTCTTAATCTTTGCTTAGCTTTAAGTGAGTAATACAAAACAAGTCATAATATCCAACATACAAGTACATGGCATCTCATCCTCATTGGGTAATGCTGAGAGTAGCAGCCTTAGGTGATCCATGTTGCTGCAGAAGTTCTTACATATTCAGGAGCCCTGCTCACTGCCAAACACCTTACAGATCCAGAAATAGAGCTGTCAATGGACTGCACACTCTCTCAGCACCCTTACTGCTCAATCTATCTGTTCTTTCCATCTCCTGCCGCAGTCTGGTACTGCACCACAGATATGCCATACCTCCCCTGCCTATTTGTGCTCCTTCCTTGTCAGACGGCTGTCTACTCTTGTAGCTTTTCTACTTCTATATAGCTGAGGTGGGATAAGTGTTGTTTTCATGGGAGTTGGGTGAACCAAATGCAGGTGGGAGGCAGTTTAGATTGGACCCTGAAGATCTTATATTGTGTAAGGTGCATCAGAAACCTCAATCCAAATCTGAACTTTGATGGTGAAAGAGGCCACGGAAAGCCCCCTTCTAGTCTTTGGTAACTCAGTCATTTGAAATGCAGTGCACTGTTACACTGCTCTATTTACAGACATCAATAGCTCGTAAGTTCTGGTTTGTTCATCTGAGAAAAATCTGTGGTGTCCAGCATCAGGGCTTGCATTTGGACTAAGAAGCTGTTGTGCAACTATTACAGTAAGGGCTTGTCTTCATGAGGAAGCGATTGTGAAATAAGCTAGGGTGTGGAATTAAAACACACCAATCACTCTGCACTAGCTCCTCATGTGGACACTTTTGTTCTGCATTAAGACTGCCTTTATGCGATTTATCCTAATCCTCCGGTCCACTTAATGCCCTTAAGGTAAAGTGCACAAAGGCACTCTTATGCAGAATAAGATTGTCCACCTGGGGAGCTACTGTGGAATAGCTATGGCAAACTTTTTGCCTGTGACAAGCCCTAAATCCACTTTGATAGTGTGTCCAAAAGCTATACTGAAAAAAAAATTAAAAACAGTAGCTAATACAAATTCCAGAATTATACTGATCTTAATACAGACAAAATAATCACCTAGAGGTGACAACTGAGATTGCTGGCACCCCCCAATTTATATTCAAATTGCTTCCTTAAAATCAGAAATGGAGCATAACATATGCCTCTTTACCTGCCCTGAATTATGTCGGGGGGTGGAGGGAGGGGAGATGAGCAGGAAATGCACTGAAGTTAGCTATTCAGAGATAAGAATCTAGGATTTTTTAAAGTATTTTAAAAATAAAATACTAATGGCCAACTGATCTTGAAGGAAAAAATCTAGAACCCAAATGAATTCCTATCTGCCATTTATTAAAAGCAGAAAGCCACTGAATATTACTACTGCTACCTGATATATGAAGATTAGAGAGTGCCACAAAGACATTCCTATTTCCTTTGTCTCAAAACTTTCAAACCACATGTTGCGTCAGCAAAGTGAAATGGGGCCTTTATTTAATTTGAGTCCTTTGAGACCAGTGGTGAAATCCCGGCTCTTCTGAAGTCTATGGGAAACTCCACTTGCTTCAATGGGTCCAGGATTTTGCCCCAAGAATTTGGATTTCTCCTCTTCCAATGTAAGTGGGTGTCTCACAGCACTCTGTTCTTGGTGAGCTCCTCTTCTCATTCTACAGTTGTAGATGTACCCAGATAACCTCATACACATACTTTGTTTCAACAATCATTGTCATGTGATGAGACTCAAATCAGTATCTCACTCATTCCAGTCCCACAACTCAGCCTGTTTCTCTGTTTCGCAGACTGTTGCTGACATCATTTCCTGGATGTTTTCCCAATTTACATTAACATAGCTAAAACTAAACTTTGTATTTTTTCCACCCAAAACCTCTCCATTACAGCTGAAACTGCAAAAAAGGCATCTGCTCCTCTGGTAATTAGGCCACTCATATACATTGCTGTATGAGGTAAATTATTAAAATGCAACTTGATACATTTTCTTATTAAAACTTGGCAATTACAAAATCCTTCACTGTAACTACAAAGTATCATTATAACAATAGTTCAGTTCACTACCTGACTCTCAAAAGGGAGGAAAAAAAACAAAGTGAAGTTTTCAAGCAGGCTGATGTGCTTTTAACTCGAATACACCCTTTGTAATAACATACAGTGAGAGATGATACACTAGTCTGCCAAAAAAAATGAATTCTCTCAGTATTTCTATTTTAAATAATTATTGGAATGCAGGGAAAGTCCACTGTAACAATAAATTTTTTCTGATGTCGCCTGTGCTCTTAAGTAAGAGTTTAATGGAGAAATTGTGTTCTTAACATGAGTGATTAATGCAATAAAATACTGTTTACAAAAAGATAGAGAACGAGGTTCACATTTACTTTACTAGGTGGAGATTTCATGTGAATGCTGGAAGGAAAAACCATTAAAAATGTATGATTTTTCACATGTAGCACACAGATAACAGAATTTGCCTGTGATGATAAAGTCAGAAGCAGTTTCCCAGTTTTCAAAAAACATCAAATACAACAGTTTGATAATGATTCTGTGACTCAGTTTTCCCAGAGATGTCATGGTGTTAGCAAAAGTGGCTCCCTCAGAGGTGAGATCACGAGTTTTCAATTCTTAGGATTATTCATCAGAATTTCTGCATCCCTAAAGTAAATTAGCAATATTTCATATGTAATTTATGACAAGTTAATAAAAGCTCTCCAGGAGCTATGATTCAAGAAAGCAGAGTAACCTCTAAATTATTCCTTCACAATTCAAATCTTCCCCAAATAAATAAATGTTCTGTTTTCCAATTATATGTATTACTAAAACAAGCATCATGGTTGTACGCGAGTACTTTTACATAAATTAATTCTTGTATAAGGGATGCCCCCAAATGGGAGCACAGCTTTCCCACATCTCCTTTAAATGAGAACAGGGAAAAAACTCACATGTTAACAGTTTTTTTTTCCATGAAGATGTACAGCATAATAGGGATATAGAAATTGCCATATCAGATCAGCCAGGCCATCCAGAGGGTGTGGGTGGAAAAGGGGCAGATTGCTCTTGGCTCCTTGTTTGGGAACGCCCCCAAACAGAGTGGCATTGTGACTTGGTATATGGGGTTGCAGCATCACTCAGATCTGGCCCGGTGGCTCATCTATCACAAAGGAGGGGTGGTCAAGCCAAATCTGAGCGAGTGTCATTGCAACTGGCGCATAGGGCTCAGCGCCATTTAGGTCTGGCCTGGCTACCTGCCCCTCCATCGTGAGAGGAGCCAGGCCCAGCCTCCCAGGAGCTGCAGGGTGAGTGTGGGGAGGGCTCGCTCTCCAACCCCTTCCCACCCCCTGGCTTCCTCTCAGTGGTTTTTTTGTTTGTTTGTTTTTTGTTTTTTTGGGAAAGGGGTAAGGGAGGCTCATTTTCAGATTTTGCCCTAAACTCTCAAAAACCTCTATTCAGCCTGCAGATTAGACCCTTGGCCCATGTGATCCACAATCCTGTTTCTACCATTAGCCTGTTCTGGATGCTTGAGAAGAAGGTGCAAGAAACTTTGCAGTCTACAATAATGGAATAACCCATTCACAGGGAAACTTTCTTCCTTACTCTTATTATTTAGTAGTTGGCTTGTGTCCTGAAGAATGTGAGTTTATATCCCTTATAAACAAAAATCCTATCTGGTGGAACTGTGGATGTTTTCTGTATGCAAATAAATGTTTAAGCATTTTTAAACCTAGTAACCACTTAGCTTTAATTATAAATTGGGATGAGTGTCGCAAACAAAATGATACATTGTTAAAAAATATACATTTCCCTTTATCAGTTGTAAATTTGTTGCCTTTCATTTGTATTGAATGTTCTTATATTAGAAGAAAAAGTGAATAGAACTACCAAGTTTACCTTCTCCATGCCATTCATTATTTGTACACCTCTATCATGTTCCCTCCTATTTGCATCCTGTGTAAAATAAGCACTCCTATGCTTAAATTTCCCTTCATGGAGAAATTTTTTCCATGACTCAAATCATTTTCATGCCAGTGTCTGAACTCCCTCTATATCTGCTATATCCTTTTTTGAGAGAGGGTGATCAGAACTCCCTGTTCAGCAAGCATTAGCACAACTCATACAGAAAGTAGGTTTCATTTGGTTTGGAAAAATGACCTTTTATTCATGTTACTTAGCCATATGGACAATCCAAATCCAATTTAAGCAAAGTCTACTGCAGATGTTCTGTAATCTCATCCCTGAGATCCATACAACATTCAGAAATGGCAGTAACTATACAATGTCACTAA